CAACAGGCTAAAGAGTGGACGAAACTCGGTTCACCGCCGGCAAAGCGGCCAAAGACGCAACAATGGGCTGGGAAGGTTATGGCCAGTGTGTTTTGGGATGCACACGGTATAATCTTCATCGACTACCTGGAAAAGGGAAGGACGATTACTGGCGCATATTATGCTGCATTGTTGGATCGATTGGTGGTCGAAATCGCATCGAAACGGCCCCATATGAAGAAGAAAAAATCCTCTTTTTGGACGATAATACACCGTCGCACACATCGATGATTGCAATAGCAAAAAAGAACGAATTGGGCTTCGAATTGGTTCAACACCCACCATATTCGCCAGATCTAGCCCCCAGCGATTACTACCTCTTCCCAAACCTCAAAAGATGGCTATGTGGAAGACGTTTTTACAACAATGAGGAGGTCGAGTACGAAACAGATAGCTATTTTGGGACTTTGGACAAATCGTACTATTTGGGTGGTATCCAAAAGTTGGAAAATCGTTGGGCTCGTTGTATCGAGCTAAAAGGAGAATATGTTGAGAAATGAAATTGAATTTTTCGAAAAAAATGTGTTTTCATTCAAAAAGTACCCAACTTTTCAATCCACCTAGTACATTGGCAAATCTTCAGTTCATTTGTGAATAAAATCAACAGGAACAGGTTCACCCTGTTTCAACCTCATCGCGAAGCGATTTGTTTTGAATTAAGGCATTTTCCGTGAATGAAATAAATTTCCGATTACGAATTCAATATCCATATAATCGTATTAGTGTTGTTTTTTCTTTTCAAAGAACGTTCTCTGTATGTTTTTTCAACTGTATTTAAAAGTTTATACTGTAAGAATCAAAAGATTATTTCTTTATAACTTCTTTCGAAGATTTGATATGGAATTCAATTCATTTGAGAGTTGGACGCTTCCGAAGCAACATCGTTTGTTGAATTTCTTTTTCCTTGTCTTGAATTTCGAAGTCTGTTATTTCGATAACATCATAAGTTTTACCAAATAAACCGATCCATATTCCACATGTTTTTTTTGTAAGTTTGTACGTGCGCTGTAAATAAGAGATACATACCGTTCCCCAACAATCGTTGCAAGGTGTCGTGTGAAACAAGATAAAGTGTGATATAATTGCTAATTATTCAATAGTTGCACGTCGGAAAACATTGCTTCAAAGACGATTTTTATTCTTCAAGGTATCCTCTATATTTTCAACTTTGCACTGTTAGTCTTTAACAAGCGATTGTTGAGTTCTTGTTTATAGTGCGCGAAAATTAAAAAAGAATAATAAAAATCTTCCATGATTGCCAATCAAAGAATAAATCTCAGCGGTCCAGTGTGAATAAAACGCAACATTTTTTGTCACAAAACTGTAGGCGCTTCTCGTTTGCGATTATTGTAGCTCGTCGTTGTAGGGCTTCTCCAAACACAGGTGTCACAGTGTGAAGTCTATAATTGGAATGAGTTATCAGAAAAAGTAAAATGTCAAAGGAGAAGTTTGAAATTTCAAGTGAGGTATGCATATTACCAGATACAGAAGATTTGCCAAAAATGTCAGAATATTTAAATGCGGTTGCTAGCGAAGCAGCTGACGAGTCGTCGAGCAAAGCAGACGAGTCAAAAGTTGATGCTGATTTGGCCAGTTCCCTAGCGATTGATTCATTTGGTAAAGTAGGCCTGAACGATTTAAATTTTATCAAAGTGCTCGGCAAAGGAACATTCGGGAAAGTGATGTTGGCCGAAAAGAGGGGCACCGAAGAGGTGTATGCTGTTAAAGTGCTGAAGAAGGATTATATCGTCCAGAACATTGGAATCGATTACATTATGACAGAAAAACACATTCTGACCCTAGCTGCAGAACATCCATTCTTAACGGCTTTACACTCGTGCTTTCAAACAACAGATCGCTTATTTTTTGTCATGGAATATGTCAGCGGCGGTAATCTCAGGTTTCAAATTCAACGTGCACGCAAATTTGACAAAAAGCGTGCCGCATTCTATGCCGCCGAAGTTACAATTGCACTACAATTTCTGCATCTTCACGGAGTTGTTTATCGTGATTTAAAATTGGATAATATTCTACTCGATCAAGAGGGCCACTGCAAACTGGCCGATTTTGGCTTGTGTAAGGTAAGAAAATGAGAAAAGTTAATGGCATTGATGAAATTGAACTAATTGAAAGTACAATGTTTTTCTGCAGGAAGGAATTATTGATGACATTTTTGCATCCACATTTTGCGGTACACCTCATTATATGGCACCGGAAATTATTCAATTATTAGAATATGGCTCATCAGTGGATTGGTGGGCACTTGGTGTGCTCATATATGAAATGATGGCTGGTCAGCCACCATTCCAAGCCGATAGTATAGATGATTTATACGAATCGATTCTTCACGATGACGTTCTCTATCCAGTTTCGTTGAACCGCCAAGCGCTATCAATAATGCGAGGTATAGACGTCCGTATGCGAACGGTGCAGTGAGACTGCTTCTTCTTCTTAACTAACACATCTATACATGTAAGTCGCCATATTGGTTATAATGTTCACAAATGGGTGCGTTTAATTATATGTCAGCGCACGTTGTGCTGGAAACAGTAGTAAAGAAGAATCGCCACTGTCATTTTGCGCGCAGGGGTTTAGCTCGATGTGAACCCGTGTGAAGCATTGGAAAAAAACAACTACAGTAGCCTACATTCCATGTAGTGCTAAAAAGCCGATAGAAATCGATAGGAATAATATGGTTCACGATTTTTCAAAATATCTTTTTTGCTCAAATGTTGACGCATCATTAAACGCACTCAATACACTGTATACATTTTCAATATGGCCGCGCCCATTGTGTACGACAGTGTAAAGAAGAAGAAGCAGTATTATAAGACACTGTGTATGCATTTACATAGGGATGGGTATAGAGCTTGTTTTGATGCCACTTTTATAAATTTACAATCGAATACAAAGTCACCCTTTTCAATATGTTTTCAGGTTTTATGACGAAAAATCTGGCACATCGGTTGGGATGCTCTGGAAATGGATCACAAATCAGAGATCATCCGTTTTTCGAAGATCTCGATTGGGAAGCATTGGAATTGCGTCGTGTTAAACCACCATTCCGGCCTAAAGTGGTATGTATCGATTCAGAAGCTTTTGATTTGTTTGTGCCCAGCGTTACCATATGGTAACGCAAAATGGTAGGTCTATTATCAGATGTGTAAAAAGTGAACCAATGCACATATGATTGGTTGCAAGCACGTTCTGTGTTCGTTAAGGATTTATCATGCTGCATACAAATTTTTGATCCGTGCATTAATGTGCATTTTATAGCACCTCAAGGTTTGAGAAAAATGAAAGAAAATTTGCAAAAAATGGCCATTTGCGAAATTTTTATTTTTGCTAAAAGCAACTTATCGCTATATTTGTCACATTTTGCGCTTCGTCTGATATTATTAACATTTATTCATTCGATCATATCGTGTTGTTGCGTTTGAATTCCAGAAAAGTCCAAAGGACACATTCAATATTGATGCGGTATTCACAGAAGAGGAACCTATGTTGACACCAGACGATGTGATTGGTGACATCAATCAAGACGAATTCTTTGGATTTTCATTCGTTAACGAAGGTTTTGATCCTGAACGAAAAATTTGTTAATTTTGTTCGATATGTGCAAAACTGTTATACAATGGGAAAACGACAGCAAAAATAAAAATCGTGTATACGGTCTACTTGTGAAGTTCATAAACGGATTCTAGAGCGGCTATTGAAGTCTGTGATAAGTAAACTGCAATTGATCGAAACGTTGAATGTCGCTATGAGTCTTGTTATGACTTTTGCCCATTTGATCAAAATTTAAATGTATGCTTTTCCAATGTGTAAGCGAACGGACAACGCTCAACAAAAATTAAAATTAATTAATTCTAATTAATGTGCATGCTGTTAGGGTTATTGCGACGAAAGAATAATATCATTTTTGTTATGTTAGAAATTATGTTATACATATAGAACTTTTTTTTAAAAATTTATACAAAACTGAACCACACATGGTTGATTGACGCTACGAAGAGAGCATAACGGGCTAATGAAAATGGCATTTCCCAAACTGATAACCAAAAGACAAACATAGTAACAAAAAAAAAGAAATTAGAATATATATAATAAAGTCTACGTACAAGAATCATTTTAATACGTATGTTATACAATAAGTCCCATTTCGATGACAGCTCGCACTCACGCACAATCAGATTGGTAATCCTCAATTGTTAACACGATGGAGTTATATCAGTAGCCGTGCAGTATAAGACACGAAAGCCGCGTAGTTGGATTACGCGAGGCACGTAGAGCCTTTTTGACAGCTTATAAAGACAGCGAAAGTACAAGCTATAGATTATTAGTGCTATTAAGTATCCCCAGTTTTTTGTTTTTATTAGTCATTTGAAATTGGATTAAATGTTTTTCGTCTAAAAAATGTGTAAAATCGTCTAAAAAAAATATAAAAATCGTCTAAAAAAATAACTCATTTTGAATCTAAAGAAATTGAGAAAATCGTCAAAAAAATAACGAAAATCGTCTAAAGAAATTGAGAAAATAGTCTAAAAGGTGTCCATATTTTTTGAGGTGAAAATCGTCTAAAGAATTGTGAAAATCGTCTAAAGAATTAGTAAAACCATCTAATTTGAATTTTCAATTTTTTTGGTAAAAATCATCTAAAGATGTTAGAAAAACGTCTAAAGAATTAACAAAAATATCTAAAGAATTTACAAAAACATCTAAAGAATTTGTCAAAAGAATTGAAAAAATCGTCTAAAGGAATTGCGAAAATCGTCTAAAAAATTCTCATATTCTTATGTGTGTAAAAAACATCTAAAATAATGTCGAAATCGTCTAAAAGATTTGTTTTTTCTGGCTTGAAAATCCTCTAAAAAAATAATTCATTTCGAATCTAAAAAATTACGAAAATCGTCAAAAAAATTACGAAAATCGTCTAAAAAAGTAAGTCAGTAGTCATAGACATTGTCATGAGAGGACACATGTGTGTTGTATTTCTAGTTGATCATGGAATAGAAATAAGTGTCCATTTCGAAGATATATACGTGTTGAAGGAGATTCATTCATTGGTTGCTCCGTTCATTTACAAGTGTCGAATGTCTGATTTCATTTCGAATGCTTGCAATGAGAGCCTCAATTCTGAAGATATTTCACATTTGGAGCTTATGCGGAACTTGGAACTTGATTCTGATGATGTCAGCATCGAAACTGAAGAACATTTTCCTGAGTGGTTACCCCCGATGACACTATATTTTTCATGGATGAGCAAAACATTGAAACCGCCGCAGAAATTTCAAACGAAATCAAAAACATCATAAAAAATTCTGATGAGCAAATACCACATGCCTGGAGAGTAGGTCAGCCTTGCTTTGCTATGTTTGAAGATGGAGAATACTACCGAGCTTCAATCAATAAAATCAATACAGATGGTTCCTGCCAGGTAATCAATTGTTATGATTTTTGAAGATTTAACAAATCTCATCTGATTTAACAAATCTCATCGCAGTATGTAAAGAATTGCTAAAGAAAACCTATTCTTTTAATCCACAAATTCACTTCGTCGATTTCGGTAATGAAATGAATACCGAATTGTTTAGTCTTCATAGAGCTACCGATTTTGGTGGGGTGCCCATTTTGGTGAATCGGGTTTATATATCGTCTCTGCATATCAAAAATCAAGAACTTTCCACAGCAGTATTGAAAGAATTCGAGAATCAAATGATTAACCGTGTAGTAAACATTAATATTGATAATGTTAATGTCCAAAATTTGAATATTCTGCCATGTTCAATAACTGTCGAACATCTAAATTGTGATTTCACGTAATGGTTGGCCCAGAACGGCTTCGGATTTGGCATTGGTCTAAACAATAATGACAAAAAACGTATAGAACGTTTGATAAAATAATAAACCGATCAAAAGCAACTAAAAAAATGTTTTTCAAATTCTTTATTTTTTTGAATACTTTTTGGGTGAAAATAAACCATACTTTCTGACCTAGAGCATAAAATATTGGAAAAAGATTTTTTTTCTCGATTTTTCCTCCATTATTTTTAGAAAATTTTGATGATTTTTAGCTAAAAAGTTCCCTTAGACCTACCTAAAGATATTTCAATTGGTGAATATTGTTTTCATTGTACTCTGAGTTTTATTTCAGTCATCAAAATTTCAAAAAAATGACAAATTTGGCAAAAATGCATGAAATTGAGCAAATCAGCTCTCAATGTTTTATTCTATAGGTTAGAAAATATGGTTGATATAGACTTCACGATTAAACGGTTTTCGCAATTTCTTTAGACGATTTTTTTAATTCTTTTGATGTTTTTTTAAATTCTTTAGACGTTTTTCTAACATCTTTAGATGACCTTTACCAAAAAAATTGGAAATTCAAATTAGATGGTTTTACAAATTCTTTAGACGATTTTCACCCAAAAAAAATATTGACACCTTTTAGACGATTTTCTCAATTTCTTTAGACGATTTTCGTAATTTTTTTTGACGATTTTCTCAATTTCTTTTGACGATTTTCGTAATATCTTTAGACGTTTTTTGCAATATCTTTAGATTCGAAATGAATTATTTCTTCAGACGATTATGATATTTTTTAGACGTTTTTTCAAAATCTTACGACGATATTCAAGCCAAAAAAATGAAATAGGGCTTTTAGACGATTTCGAAATTATTTTAGATGATTTTTGCATAAAAAAAATATTGAAACTTTTTGGACGATTTTCGCAATTTCTTTAGATGATTTTTCTATTTTTTTGACGATTTTTTCAATTCTTTTGACAAATTCTTTAGACGTTTTTTTCATTTTTTTTAGACGTTTTTCTAATAATTTTAGACGTTTTTCTAATAATTTTAGACGATTTCCTAATGAGCCTTTGAAATAACCTCGTGCAGCTTGGCGTCATTTCCTCCACTTCCATATGTTTGCAATGATGTTTGAACTTTGACAAGCAAGCTTCTACAATGGAAATTAAATGCGAGTGGAGACGCCACAAAAATGACTCCAAAATCGTCGATTAATGATCGAACTACTTTATGTTAATAATTCGAATTGTTGAAAAAATATTTTTAATTCAATCTCACTATAAAAAAGTAAAAAATAATCTCACACAATTTTTTTAATCTATCAGAATCGATTTGCATTAGTCAAGTTTGTATACTAGAGAAGTGCCTCCTTAAAGAAGCTCTTCAATTATATAATATACACATACAAAATTGAATAAATAAACTTCGTATAGCAATCAATTTAATTTTATTCAATTTCTTTAAATTTAAAAAGTAATAGAAACGAAAAAAATATTAAAATAATTGAAAATATATCCCATTTGCTGATCGAAGTTATACCTATGCACATACTTAAGCATCTTATGTTACTTAAGTAACATGTGACGTTCGTACAATCGTATAGTTAATGATAATAGTGCCTCCTTAAGGAATCAGCTGTTGATCAACCATTTTTCACATTATTTTCTATTTGTTGGATAGTATTTCGGTTTGATTTTATTGCGTTAGTGAATATCTAACAAAATTAACTTTAAATCTATGGATAAATTGAAAAAAAAATCAGTTATTATGACAACTTCAGACTGCGATGGTGTCGAAGAAAAAGTGTCTATCGTCGCACAAAAATGTGCTATGGGTAGCACATTCCTGTATTGATATAAGAGCATGAGGATATATTCAATACATATGTACACTGTCATTTTTTCACTGTTATTTTATCAGAATAATAATGGAATATATGAATGTCCGAGAATGAAAACGCAACTTCTATTCAAAACACATATAAGTGAAACAAAAATAAAAAATTTATTGAAATGAAACAACAAAATCGAATTTTTTGTTGTTACACTTTGAAAAAATTCGATTTTGTTGTTTCATTTCAATAAATTTTTTATTTTTGTTTCACTTATATGTGTTGTGAATAGAAGTTGCGTTTTCATTCTCGGACATTCATATCAAACTCACTTTAATAAATTAAAAATTCATCACTTTCTCAAACTCGATTCATTTCAACGAATGTCACATATGTCACATCCCATGAAATGGCAAAACACAATGAACAATGTTGTCAAAAGTACTTAAGTAAGTGATGGGCGCGTAGATGTGGCGGCGCCACCAGTATCAAATTGCTTCACTGCGAATGTACGGTTATATCAGTAGACAACTACTCAAAAAGAAATTATCAAAATAATTCCATATGAACAGTGGCAATTGTTTAAATATATTAGAATAGAGAATTTATGCTTTGCAAAGGTATTTAATTATTTAATGAAGTGCCCAATGACAAAACACTCAATGTACAAGATTATTTTCGAATAGATTCAGAATTGTAAAAAAGACACTGCACTCCTTGATCGGCCTATTCAATTAGAGATGTTACAATAAAGGAAAATCTTATTGGAAACTGACTTATGGTGCCTCGTAGATATATTTCACAAAAGATTGATGTTATAAAGCCTTTTTGTTTGTGTTCCACAGAGATTTCATTTGGTCGGCGTATATTCGGTACGTATGTTGTATAACATTCATAAACGACTAAAGATAGCCCGTTTCGAATATCATAAGTATCATAAGCATTATTGCTTAAATTTTTG